TCTCTCTCTCTCTCTCTCTCTCTCTCTCTCTCTCTCTCGCTCTCTCTTCTCTCCCGATGCCTCCCTTGCATTCCTCTCTTTCTTTCTTTCTCTCTTCTCCCTCTCTCTCTCTCTTTCCCCCCCCCTCTCGCTCTCTCTCTTTCTCTCTCTCCATACCTTATACATCTACATTCAGGCGATGCATTTACATATTCGGAAGTGCGCGGCTCTGAAACATACAATGGGCGGCCGGCGTTCATGTGAGTAAAGCCCTCATATCTGGCGACGAACACGACCAAGCTGGCGTGCTCGCACAGTCACGCTTGATGACCCGAATGTGACGAGCGCCCGGCCTCTCGACCGACGGATATCCCGATGCGGCCGGCAACGTGACGCGTGTGCGAGAGTCCGACCTCCTTCCTTCTCTCCCTCTCGGTGTGCATGCCACGGACGCCGTCGGCGGCGGGAGCGCGGCCCGCTCCTGGGCGGCGGACTCCCGCCGCGCCATGCATACCCTGAAAGCCGGCGGGATTTCTCCCCCGAACAGCGATCATCACGATTGTGAGCGCCATTGTTGGGCGGACGGTCATTACCCGGCGGCCGGCGCAGACGGCGGGCCGGCTGGCGGCCGGCGCGTCGTCAGATTGTGTCGCTCGCTGACTCTGATGGCATTCGTTCCCCGCCCGCCTCGCCGGGGGGCACGGAACAGGTGGAGCTCGTGGCGGGAAGGAACACACTCTGGTGGGGCGTCGCTGCCATTGATGGAGCTCAGGCAGAGGAAGCCCGCACGTGGGAACTCCTCTGGGATGACGCACCAGCTACCAAGCATGCTGAGGTCCCATTTATCTTACAGCAGGCCACACGATCGATGCGAAGGGGCATCACGCCATCACCATTGCAGAAGCAGTGCCATCTACAGGCACGCGGGAAACCCTCGCGTCGATCTGGCAAGAACCCGCCGGAACCGCCTCACCCACCTACCTGGCGCGGCGGACGTGCCGAGCAGGACGGCGGCCAGCAGCAGGGACGGCCCACGTTCGGCCGGAGGCGGCAGGGCGTGACCCGCCTCGGATCGTCACTCGACAGCGACGCACGGGCGCACGGCGGCGGCGGCGGCGGCGGCGCGCCGGCCAGTGCACCGCTCTCACATGCCGCTCCAGCTGCACATGGCGCGGCCGGCTGCCGGGGCGCGCTCTCCAGCTGGGCGGCCGGCGGCGTCTCCGGCGCGCCGCGCCGCACCGCGCCGCGCCCGCATTCTGGGTCAGACGGGCAGTCGGGCACGTACGGCCGCCGGCGCCCCGGCACCGGGACGCTGACCGCAACACCGCCGCCGGCATCGGCGACCGCTGTCAACGGCGCCAGCCCGCGCGTCTCTCGCCTGAGATAGGAGGGGCGGGGGCTGTTGTGTGCCGTGCGGTCCTTTCCGGGCACGTCTGCGACATCGGCGTTTCCGCCAGGCCGATCGGGACGTGATAGCCCGTTTTTTCGGTGCAGGGCTTCAAAGCTGCCCTTCTCACTTTTAGCATCGCAATGGAATATGTGACCTTAACATCCTCTGCCGTTAATGATTGAGAGATATGATTCGGTCACTACCTAACTGGACTTCGTCTGCATCACTCTCTGGGATATCGTGAGCGTGGACACGCCCACACTCCTGTCATTGCCGCTGGCGTCATCCGCCTATACTCTGCCTATTCGCCACCCTTTCTTGCAGAGGATCCGAGTCGGGACTTTTGACGTTGGTTTGTCCAGGACTTCAACGCGTTTTGAAGAACGGGATGGTCATGCCTTTTGCACTGGTGAGGTGTATAAGCAATCCGCACCTGACCTTTCCTTCACGGCGAGAGCCTGAGACGGTAGAATATCTTTAAGGTTGGATATGCGGAATGGGTAACATCCGGTAAGGCTTATGTTTGATTGTTCCAAAGTCGAAGGCTTCCTCTTTGCCTCGTACTACATTGTTCATAGCCAAACCACTCAATACTCATTTGACTGTTAACCCTCCTGTTTTTGCCTCCTTAACGTTATCTGATCACTACCCAAAAAGTTTTAAATATCCCTCGCTGGAATGTCTTTAACATTGACAGGTCACCATTGCTTTCACAGCTCACTGCAACGCCTCCGACATTTATCAGTCAGTGCACTCCAATGCAGACCACAGGATCAGGCTTTTGTCATCGGCATGCTCGATTATCAGCAGATCACAATCAATATAATGTTTTGTTCTCTTTTATGGCGCATGGAAAGTTCATTACTTGAACACTCGTCTCTCCTGTCAGAGCGCTTGACGCATACCTTGCGTCAGCATTCCGCTCAGTTTTTCCCCTTCTTCGGTGCGGGCGGAAGTGGCTCGGCCCGGTCGGCACACACACACACACACACACACACACACACACACACACACACACACACACACACACACACACACACACACACACACACACACACACACACACACACACACACACACACACACACACACACACACACACACACACACACAACACACACACACACACACACACACACACACACACACACACACACGTGGTGTTGGTGCCGCCCTCTTCCGCACCTCTACCGCAGCTCCAGACGCCGCGGCCGGCACCGCGCTCTCCCTGTCAGAACCCGGAACACCGCACGCCGAACACTAGCCGATAGCCTTGCTAAGCCGCCGCCGCCGTCGGCACGCCGTCACTCGGCGCGTGCCGCTTGACTTGGCGTGCCCTGTTAGCCGGGCGGCGGTTTCACTCTCGGCGTGCGACGCCGATCACGTGTCCGGCGAAGCGTCCCACCGAAGGGCACGGTCCGCCGACCCAGCGCCCCGCCGCGATCTCTCCCCTGCATCTCCGATTCGCGAAAGAGCGGCCGGCAGCAAGTGACGCGTTACGGACCGACGAAAGCGAAACTGGCAGTGGGAGAAGTGGCCGCGGCAAGGCGAGCAGTGCAGGTTACGTGCCGGTTCGCTGGACTGACTGCCGTTCACCGTCCATTCGTTGGCAGGGATACAGATGGCCGCCCGCCACCTGCTTCATTGGAGCCCGCAGACTGCAAGAAACCCTAGGGGGACGAGGCTGTCGTAATAGCGGCAGTTTCAGTCTGCAGATGGTATCGTTTAGTTTCTTTTAACAGGTGTACCGGCTATAACAGCTGCAGTTAGGGGAGAGCCGGGCCATGTGATGTTTGCGCATGGTGCATAATGAGCGCAATAAATTACACGAAAGAACATATATTTTTCAATTACATTTAGTGCTATGGACTAGTGAGGAGGTGTGATGTAGATACTGCGCTAAATTAGGTGCCATTACAACTAGATTGGAGTAAGCTGGAGACTGGACGGAACATGGGGCTTACCATTGGAATAAGCCGTTGAGCTGACACCACAATTCATGCCGTATATCTGCATGCACACATTTCTCGAGAACCAGCGAGCTTTTCGTTCGATGCACATGAACCTCGTACACAAATATGTTGGGGACGCGAGTGCATCACAAGTAAGTAGCTGAAATCGGGCGCTTCCCGTGTTTGGCTCCAGTATCAATTCTATTTAACATTGTTGAAGAACTGGATTATCTGATAATAACTGGATTATCTGATAATAACTGGCTTATCTGATAACAGCTGGATCGGTCTGAGTTTATTCCCTCAATCGTGACATAAGCAAAAAACGAGCAAGCTCCCGTTTTTCGGCATTATGAGTTGGGAGATCTTAATCTGCAGCTATCCATTTTCACTATACCAAGAGGTACTATCAAAACGACGCTATCAAAAAAAGCATTGAGTATATTGACGAA